GATAATGATTAGTTTTACTAATTTTCTAGGTTTGTTTGGTTGTTATATTTATTGTGTATTGATTAGTTTTGGCAAAATTTATCAAATAATAATTAGTTATGGATATTTACTGTTGCAGTAGTTGGTTAATGTGGTTATATTTAGGTAGGACTAGCATTTATATGTCTGATTATGAAATATAGAGATTGTGCACACACTTTTTAATAGGCAATTTTTCGTTACATAGTATCTTCATGCATGGTGTCATTGCTAGCATTCATAGGCTGATTTCAATTTCTCTCATTAAAGCAAAGCAAAGGGAGCTCGGCTTTTGACGTGGGCAAATTTTGTGAACCAAATCAATGGATTAAGATTGATTCAAAAATATAATCCAAAGGCACACATTTTTTGAATTGGGTAAATTTTAGCATTTTATAAATTGTCTATATAGGGTGATATTTTTTTGGAGGGAAAGTTTTGTCCAAATCTTTTAAAAGAACAAAGAAAATTAAATCAAATATTAATTAAAAAATAAAAATTAATCTAAAGAAAAGCTTAGTAATCCAAATAACTGGACTTCTGTTAAATTACAAACAAATTTAGAGTTGAATATGTAACTAATCTGGAATAGAGAATAGAATTGAATATAATTGAACTTCTGTTAAATATTATATATATTTTTTTTGTTTAGTATATCATATTGCCTTCATGCACAATTATTTCTTCTAATGACATAGTTTGACAATAAGTTGACTTTTGAGTAAATATTATTGAGAGCATATGAATTTTATGGATTTTTACTTTAAATTTATAGGAGGTTGATTATTAAAGTTGTGTTTTCTCTTTAAATTTATAGGAGGTTGATTATTAAATAGATGAAAATATTAGTCTATATTCGGTTAAACGAATTTAGATCGAATTCGAATTGAAATTTGATTTATTGATAGGCCTAACTTGAAGCATAGGATGAGATGAAGGTTGACCCCGTAGGGTTTTGATAAAAGGAAATGTTGCAGTGAGTTTTAAGTGCGGCATGATTATTATTATTTTTTTTTAGAGAATATGAGGTATGAATTTACTTCCCATAAACTTAATCTTGTACATATATTCGAGCTACAAAAATGTATATTAGGCCTTGATGTTGGACTCTTACATCTACTAACAAGTATTAGAGGAACCATTCTAAACAAAATAAGCCTGACAAAGGATTATAATTATCGTTGTTTGTTAAAGAGATTTTTTTTTTTTCCTATTTTGCTGGTTGTTTCTCAGTGCCCATGGAATATTTATGTGGCTCTAAATATTAAAGGTGTTATGTCTCTATCTTGATTTGTATTTATATGTGCCTCTCTGTCTACTATAAATGCATGCATGCATGCACGGGCGGAGCTAAGCTATTATGGCCCAAGGGTGCCATGGTCTCCTCAAGTTTGGCTAAATTTTATAGGTTGTCAAAATTTGTTTTGCCCAGGCAACATTTGGCATAGCACAGGAAAGAGATGTTAAAAAGAGACGATGGAGTTGTGTCCGGTTGGAATTTTACAATCAGGTTAGAGTTGCTCTTACCAACTAATTATAAAACAACCAATAAAATTAGTGAATCTTACTATTCTAATCAGACATTTATTAGATAAGGTGGTTATTAATAATTATTAAAACAACAGTCTACTAAGTTAACTTGGTATTTTATCATTGATTTATGGCATTACGTATCATTGATAATGTGGTTTTATTGTTATATTTATTATCATCTCGTCTTTTCTCGGAGTGGCATATTTGTTTGCTTTTTCAAAACTTCTTTTGAATGGGATAGTTCAATTTTTTCCTTGATACTCCAAAAAAATATACTACTTTATCCTCTAGATCTTGGAATTAGGTTTAATTGATGATTTGATCAAACAAAATTTACAGTCCTTCCTTCTATTTAGGAACAGCAAATTGAATCAAACGGTACAATTTCAAGACCTCACGTTAGGCCTAAAATTTCATCAAATTTCTTTCATATTGCTTGATATTGATTTGCGATGACGCGATCAATGTGCTTTAGTAGTGAAGAGTGGAGCCAAGATTTTAAGATGAAGGGTCCAAATAGTGAACAATTAGAAATTTTATTGAATGATACCATTAATGTCAAATTTCATTGAATAAACAAATTAATTCTTATTTTCTTCTTGTAAAAATTAATTTTGGTAATGTCTTAATCAACTATTTTGTTATTTATTACTTGCTATAATGACTAAAACCTAATTACTTTATAAAAATTGTCGGTGATGTAAGTCATATTTATAACTAATCTTACAACTACACTTTTTTTTTTCTTTTGTCATCAAACTGATCCTGGAGGCATGTGTCTTCATCTGTAAGCATAATCTTGAAAATCATACTCTCAATAAGTATTGTGAAACAAATCCAACTTGTACACTTACTAGTATAAAACTCGGCTCGTTTTAAATGAGCTGAGTTTAAATAATTTTTTATGTTTATTAAAAAAATAAGTTTAAAAAATTTGGTTCAAATTCATAAAGTTCGACTTGTTTAAATGTAAAATAGTTGAACTATTTGGGCTGAGTTCGAGTTTTAAATGAGCTGAGTTTAAATAATTTTTTATGCTTGTTTAAAAAAACTTGTTAAAGGTGTCTTTTTAAGCAGATTTGGGTTGAAGTTCACAAAGTTTGGCTTGATTAACACTCTTATTTATCAATAAAATAAAATAAAAAAAGACCTAGTTTAGTTGACCAAAAAAAGGAAAAAATTTACCTTCTGAAGAAAAAAACAAGAGGAAATAATGACCTAATCCACCCAAAGATTATCGGCATTTATAACAGCTAGCCCCATTATTATCCACGCCACCTACTTTGAGGGGCCCTTCTTAACTACAGAAATAATGAAAAATGGAAAAAGAGATGTTGAAGTTGTCTAGTTGGGATTTAACAACCCGGTTAGAGTTAATTTTACCAATCAATTATAAAACAATAAATAAAATTGGTGAGTCTTACTATTCCAACATGATAATTATTAAATAAAGTGGTTATTAATAGTTATTAAAACAATAGAGTCTATTAAAGTTTATTTAGTATTTTATCACTAATTTATGACATCACGTATCATTGATGATGTGATTTTACTGTGATATGTAATATCATCTCGTCTTCCTTCCGGTGGCATATTTTTCTGATTTTTCAAGACTTCTTCTGAATGGGATAGTTGTTCAATTCTTTCCTAGATACTCTCAAAAAAAAAAAAATCTAACTACTACATTATCGTCTAGATCTTGGAATTAGGTTTAGGTTTGATAGATCATTTGATCAAATAAAATTTATAACCCTTCCTTTCTATGTATGAAATGAACCTAGTAAATTGAATTAAACGGTACCATTTCAGACATCACATTAGGCCTAAAAATTTCATCAAATTCTGTTCATATCGCCTGAAATTGATTCGCGAGGGCACGATTAATGTGCTTTAGTAATGAGGAACGGAGCCAAAATTTTATGACAAAGAGGCCAAATAGAGTACAATTAGAAATTTTATTGAATTACGTAATTATATCATTAATGTCAAATTTCATTGAATAAACAAATTAATTCTTATTTTTTTCTTGTAAAAAATAATTTTTTGGTAATGTCTTAATCAACTATTTTGTCATTTATTACTTGCTATAATGACTAATACATAATTACTTTATAAAAATATTGTTCTACACTATAAAAATTGTCGGTGATGTAAGTCATATTTATAGCTTAATCTTAAGACTACACTTTTTTTTTTCTTTTGTCATCAAATTGATCCTGGAGGCATGTGTCTTCATCCGTAAGAATAACCGATGATGGGCCACAACTAAGGTCCTAACTCATGTAATAAGCCCAATTTGAATAAAGAGTTCAACTTAAAGAGATTTAATGAGTTCAATTCAAGAGAGGTCCACACCTAGTCAAGCCTATCAGATTTTGAGGAGTTATATCACCAAAAGAGTAAGTAGGGGTCATCTAAGAACTTCATCTACGCTGCTTTTAAAGAAATTAACTACCACGCCATCCTTTCACTTGATCTTAAGGGGAGTTCCGTAACTGTCTCACCCGTTGAAAAGATAGCATCAGTTCTACCAGGTTTGCTACTTAATTACTAAAAAATCGTCTTAGTATATTGAGAGTTATTATAAATTGTAAGTGTCGTCAATACTTGAGGGCATCGAGCATATCTGCAATCACTCTTATCTCTCTCTCATTGTTTGTATTTTCCTGCTTTTCCAACACTTTTCAAAATAATAAAATACCCAGGTCACCCTAGTCTTTCACGGTGGACGTAGATCATGTTGATCGAACTATTCTACATCTTTGTTTTGCTTGAGTTACTCTCTCTCTTTATTTAATTACTATATTAATTATTAATCATTTGACAAGTAGTGCATAATACCAATTTATTCATCATCAACCGATACTGTAATCTTGAAAATCATACTCTCAATAACTCTTGTGAAACAAATCCAAGCTATACACTTACCAATATAAAACTCCGCTCGGTTTTAACGAGCTGAATTTAAATAATTTTTTAGACTTATTTAAAAAATAAATCTAAAAGATTTGGCTCAAGCATTCAAGTTCGTCTTGTTTATATGTAAAATAATTGAACTATTCGGGTTGAACTCGAGTCCTAAATGAACTGAGCTTAAATAATTTTTTAAGTTTGTTTAGAAAAACAACTCGTTAGAGAGGTCTTTTTAAGCAGATTTGAACTAAATTCACAAAGTTCGACTCAATTAACGCTTCTATTTATCAATAAAAGACAAAAAAAAAGACTTATTTAGTTAACCTTAAAAAAGGAAATAATGTCCTAATCCACGCAAAGAATATCGGTATTTATAACAAATGGCCCCATTATTATCCAATCCACCTACTTAGAGCGGCCCTTCTTAATTACAGCAATAATGGAAAATGCAATAATGGAAAATGCAACACAACCCATACTATCAACTTGTTCAATAATTAGGCCTCCCTCCCCGTCCTTTACTATAAATACTGACGATGCTAGCAGTTTCATTCACATAACCTTTACTACTTCAGTCTTCATAGTGTGAAAGGAAAGAGAAACCAAATATGGCCGCCGCCACCACCAACAAAAAGATGATCACTGCCTTGCTGTTTATGTTCATGGTGGTGATAGCGTCGGCTGTGCCCGATCGGGCCGGACAAGTTACGAACCTGCAAGAAGCCTGCATAACCAGATGCATGGACAACTTATGCCCCGACAAGCCGAGGAGCTATGCTATTTGTGCTTTGGAATGCGATGGATACTGTGCAGGTGCCTGCTTTGGAGGTCCTGAATTCTGCTATTTCAAACCTGGGATTCTGATGAAGCTCTAAATCATGCTACTTGTTCCACAAGGCAGCCTTCCATTCATCAATCACTTCATAAACTATGCATAAGAGGGAGGCAAATATGTATGTGTTGTGTATTTGTGTGAAATAATAACCTCTTGGGCTTATAAATAAAAGCTTTGGGCTTATAAATAGAAGCTTGGGAGATTCCAACGAATAATTGTCGGTGTGTATCGTACGTTCTGCATCGTTGTTCTTGTTATAATAAAATGTCTATAATGAAAAGCTTATGTTGTTTTTAATTTTGAATTTTCTAATCATATGATCTCTATCATTGTTATACCAAAATGCCTATAATTAAAAGGTTATGCATGCATGTGTTAATATGAAATTCGAATTTGACTTTAAAATCTCAAACCGATGTCATTATCCAACGAATCGTTTTTGTGTAGTCCATATCCAAATTTTGGTCCATACATCTAATATGAACCGATCTCTCTCTCTCTCTCTATCAGACATATCTAACACACTTACCTAAAAAGGAAAAAGTTTCCATGTATTGATTATAGATGCACCGGCGGGTCTATTAAGGGGACCATCCTCCATTTTTTTAATTTTTGTTATATAGATATAGATATATATTTATGAAACATTACTTGTATTGTGCATGGCTGCCATGATCACAACCACTAGTATCAAGAGATGAAGACCACTACCTTGATGTTTATGTTAATGCTGCTGGTGGTTTCCGCCGGTCGGAGAAGTAGCTAAATTGGAAGAAGTTACTAACGTTACAGAATACCCATATATTATTTTTTAAATACCTTATGGCTATGTGTGAATTCTAGATTTATTATAGTATGTTAGAGCACGTACGTTGCCTATAAAACAAAGTCTCCGCTCAAGGGCAGAGCCAGGAGTTCTTCACGGTGGAAGCAACCATATATTATGTTGATAGCCACAAAAACCAGCAAAAAAAAAAAAAAAGGAGAAACGCTTGAGTGAGTGGGTTTAACACACCTCGTGATATTATTATATGGTGTGCATACATAACGAGAAATTATATTTTTCATATATAATTTCATTTATCCACGCACTGATGAAAACTCCTTGCTATATTGGATATGGATCTCCTTAATTACATTTTGTTGAATTTTTCTCATAAATTGTTCGATGTATGTTGAAGATGGACCCACTTGGAGAAAGTGAGTCAAACAACTTTGATTTTTGGTTAGTGATCTAGCGTTGATGACTTTTTTAAAAATAAAAAAGTATATTAGAGTATATTTAGATACCTTGCTATTAATTTTTCAGACATTAACATAAGTGATTGTCCAAATCACAATTACATACAAATCACATTTTCCAAATCTTACTCTCAATGGGTCTTGTGAAACAAATCTAACATGTAGACTTACCAATATGAGTGTTAATTGAGACGAACTATTCGAGCTTGGTTTAGATAAAATGTGGCTTGAGTTTGACTCGTGTTTTAAACGAGTTGAGTTTGAATAATTTTTTAGAATTATTTAGTAAAACGAGCTTAAAAGTTTGATTCAAGCTCGCAAAGTTCGACTCATTTATATATAAAATAATCGAGCTATTCAATTCGGCTCGAGTTCCAAACGAGACCAGCTTACACAATTTTTTAATAACTGGCCAGTTTATTTAACCTAAAAAAGGAAATAATGACCTAACCCACCCAAAGAGAATCGGTACTTAGAGGGGCCCTTCTTAATTACACAAATAATTACAAAAAATGCAATAAATATGCACAACCCATAATTTCAACGTGCTTAGTAATTAGGCCTCCCCTCCCTTCTTTTACTATAAGAGCAATGTTATTGGGACGTAATTTATTGTGACCTTTAGATTTATTGTAGACCCTATCAAACATTGAAACTTGATGTTAATCTAATAATTTTTATGAAATCACATCATTATGTCAGTAAATTAGTTCAAATTTTTAAATTCAAATAACATTATTCTTACTATAGATACTGACGATACTAAAAGTTTCATTCACACCACCATTACTACTTCAGTCTCTAATGTATGTAAAATTAACTGTTAACAATGTGTATTAGATTGTACCAATTGACATTTTGTGAGTATTTATTAGAGGATAAAAATGAAATCAATAAAATTGCATCATCACCACTGCTAGCAGCACCAAGAATAAGAGTAGTAGTAATAATAATAATAATATTTTTTTTGAAAAAAAATTATTTAAAATATAAATGAGTTAGCTCGTTTCAGAAGGTATACCCAATCAGTACTATATATATAATGGAAGCATTTCCACATGCATGATTGCATAGGAATTTATTATAGGCATCTTGTCAGAGCAACAACTCGATTACATAATGCCTTTATCTGATTGAATTAAAGACTCGGAATTATTTCCTTCTTCCACCCACAGAGGACCACATTTACCAGTACAATCGTTAAGGCATTGACCTCTACCTTGTTCAGATAATTACCCTGACCAACTTACCTCGCATTACAAAAAAGAGCAAGCAAAAGGAGGATCTTCCGTTCAATTGTCTAGAAGATCATTCATCCATTTGATTCACTTTGCATATGTTTCTTTTTTGGTTTTTGAAATTTGATGGAACATTTCTAGGAGAAGACAGATCGGCGACACGTATCCTCCGCATCGTTATGATTCCAACTAGACATGACCACGTGTCTTCGGCGACACTCATTCCCATCTGTCGAGGAGATAGTGCTCGGAGCCGAGGGATCCCCCTAATCGGCGTGATTAACACATATGTCCTCGGCTCGGTAAAATTCTTGACCTATGAGGTAGACAAATGTTCCTCGGTACCGAGATGTTCCTTCTGTAGGCTGAATCCAACCTCTCTTCTGCTTCTATGAAAGATAATGATTGACTGATGGCTAGCCTAGGGCAAGTTAGGCTAATCATCATGAAGACACTATGCTCAATGGTCTTAGGAGGAGCAGGGATGCAGAACACGCAACCAAGGAGGAGTGGATGCGTGGAATTTAATATCAAATCAGTAGCAAAAAGACCTAGGTACCCCTGCTGACACATGACTAGAGCAAGTATGCATTTAATGAATCATCCTCCTTATGAGACAACAATTAAGGCATGGGGGGTGAGAAGTGAAGTGCATTAAAGACACCCGTACCTAGGCATTTAATACATCCTCGCCGAGGAAAGGGAATTGAATGCTCGACAGACCGAGGAGTGAGCTTTAAATGCTCGGCATCCTGATCAGTTAAAGGAAAGCCCATTCTCCATAAAAGTGAGAAGCACACTGCCCCATGTCTGACAAATATCTGTTGAATGGACTATCAGCAATCATGAGCTTTTGAAGGTATAAATAGTTCTCAAAAATCATTGAAAAGATACGCAAGAACTTCTAAAAAATAACTACAGAGTGCTTTCTTCTTCCCCTCTCTCAAAGAATTGACTTGATTGTCGGAGGGAATACGCCGAAAAACACTTCGGCACCCTTCTAACCTGTTTTTATGTGTCATAGGATCCCCCAATAGTCTTCTAGGACCGGTCAAACGACCCAACAAACAATTCATCACCAGTCCTTAGGGCTCCTTTGTCCCTCTCAACCTACTTCTTGTTTTCAAAACTCACTTTCGGATCGGTCAAATCTCTACCAAAGGCGATCGAAAATCCTGAAAGCAAACCCTCCGTTCCGTCGGAATTATTATCTTCTCAAACCACAATTCATCGTGGGAAATATTTGTTCCTACTTCTACTGTTGTGCAAAAATTAGCACGCATTATCTGGCGCCATCTGTGGGAAACGATTAGTTTTCTCAAAGAACAGTGACCATGGTGAATACTCGACAGAAAGGAAGGAGTCCCCAGTAGAAGAACCTCGATTTGTAAGCTCTTTCTAGTTCCGGAACGAAGGATCAAGTTGATGGTGTAGACAGGAATATCTCTATTCAATCGATGGGGCATACCCGCCAAACTAGTATGGGCATCAGATCAGGAGGATCCGCCCCATTGGCCTGTCAACTAGCGAAAATGATCAAGGAGAAGTTTGGGGGTCGATTACGGCAATTAGAAGAGGACAACGTGAACGTCCTCAGCTGTCTCAATGAATTTGCGACTTTCGGCGAAGGATCCAGGGACTCGTTCCGTTCCCGAGAACCCTCCATTAAGGAAATGGAAACTGAAGACTTGCGGAATCACCTGAACAATAAAGCAGAAAGTTCCAAGGCTCCAAAGCGTCCGGGAGCCAAAATGTATCCCCCAGGTGTCCAGGTCAAGAAGGCAAGGCCTTTAGCTTTGGACGATCTTCGTCAGGGGCTGTCCGGGCGAGGGGGAATGGAGGAGTTCAAGAGATCAACCCTCTCCACTCGACACCCAGGAAGTAGGTACCCCGTTAGCCCGCACAGGGACCTGAGAGGGGTTCCCCTCGAGTCGAAAATGGACCTCAGAGCTCGGTTGGAGGCCAAGAGGAGTAAGGCCATTCAGGAGGAGGACACCGATGACGAAACCATACAATCCCCTTTCACTAGAGACATTTGGGAGATGGAGGTGCCAAAGAAGTTTATAGTGCCAAGGTTCAAAACTTATAACGGATGATCTGATCCCAAAGCTCACCTCAAACAATATAAGTAGATGATGTCCCTTTACCATTCAGATCATCGGTCTTGTGCCGGGTGTTCTCCATGAGTTTGGAAGACATCACTATGAAATGGTTTGAAACTCTCCCTCCCATCTGCATCGGATCATGGAATGAGTTAATCAGGCAGTTCTCCGCTCGATTTATTATAGGAAGTAAGCGACCTAAGGATGTTGGGTCCTTACTAACACTCAAGCGAAATGAAGGGGAAATTCTCCGCCAATATGCCACTCGTTACTGGGAAGAGGTCAATGAGGTGGAAAGATACTCAAAAGTCATGGCAGCCGCCTCTTTCAGGCTTGGTCTAGCAAGAGATACAGATTTGAACCAGTCATTAACCAAGAAGACCCCATCAGACATGGGTGAATTGATGGTCTGGATAAATAAGTATTTTTGGATCGAGGATGAAAAGGGAAGGGACAAAGGTAGGACCCTCACCCCCAAGAAGAAAGACAGGGAGAAGGAGGATACCTCTCGAAATGGATTGATACCCCTTTTCGTAAGCTCTTTTAAAGGAGTCCACACCATATTTAAAGAGCCTATTTACAGGCTACTCCAGAAGATCTGGGGTGAGCCGTTCTTCAAATGGCCACCTAAAATACAGAGTGATCCGTCCACCCGGAATCAGAATGTCAGGTGTTTCTATCATCGAGATGTCAGGC